AGGCTGGCCTTGAACTGATCTCATGATCTACCCACTTCAGCCTCCCAAAGTGCTGAGATTACAGGCATGAGCCACCGCACCTGGCCAACCAGACTAATTTTGAAATTTCTGTAGAGACAGGGTCTCACTATGTTGCCCAGGCTGGTCTTAAACTCCCGGACTCAAATGATCCACCCACCTCAGCCTCCCAAAATGGTAACACCTGGCCGGGTATTACGTATATAAAACACCTGTTATAAAACACGTGGCTGGGTGGCTTACAGGTGTTTTATATATTTAACACCCAGCCAGGTATTATTTTTACTTGTCTTAAAGGATGATCTGCTAGGTTTGGGGTAGTGGCCTATAAACCAGGAATTCACTGATTCAGCATTTTGGACGTTTACAATGTGCCAGGCGTGGCTCCGGGCACTGAAATACACCAGGGAACAAAATGAAGTCCCCACCCTCATGCACCAGAGTGCAAACAGGGGAGTGTCCAGAAACAAGGGGCATAGGGCAGTGGCACATGCCTGTAATTCCAGCACTTTGGGGGGCCGAGGCAAGAGGATTGTTGGAGGCAAAGAAGTTCAACACCAGCCTGGGCAACATAACAAGACCCCATTTCTACAAAATATAAAAAACGAACTGAGCATGGTGGTGTGCACCTGTGGTCCCAGCTACTCAGGAGGCTGAGGTGGGAGGAGTGCTTGAGCCCAGGAGTTGGAGGCTGCAGTGAGCCATGACTGCACCCCTGCACTCCAGCCTGGGCAACAGAGTGAGACCTGTCTCCAAAAAGAAAGAAGAGAGAGAGAGAGAGAGAAAGGGAAGAGGTGGGCGGGGGAAGAGGGGACTGTGCGTGCGGCTTCAATCCCTGCCACCTGGGTTGAGCTGCCGCTCAAACGCTGAGGAATGAATGCGCCTGAGCGGGCAGGAGGGAAATCGAGGATAGCTGGATCCTTTTATGGCCAGATGATGGCGCCAGAGAGCACAGGATCCGGTCCCCGCGGGCCCTGCCGCCCTCGCTCCCCCGCCCCCGGCCCCATCCCCCCAACCCGCTCCCCACCTTCATGCGGCTGTAGACGGTGGAGACGGGCGTGACCGGGTGGTGCTGGTGGGAGCCCAGCAGACCGCAGAGGCCGCAGATGAGCTCCTGGTCCTTCTCGCAGAAGAGGCTGAGCGGGTTCCGGTGGTGCACGCAGACCTTGGGCTCCGGGTCCCCAGGGAGCCTGAGCGCTTCGATCACCCGGGCCAGGGAGACGTTGGGCGGGGAGCTGCTGCCGTCCACCGCCTGCCGGCACACGGGGCAGCGCAGCTCGGCGTCCAGGTGGCAGGACAGGGAGACCAGGCAGCTCTTGCAGTAGGAGTGACCGCACTGCAGCATCAGGGGATCCTTGAAGACCTCCAGGCAGATGGGACACTGAAGCCGGTCCTCCAGCTCGGGCAGGCTCACCTGCCAAGCCATCTACACTGCCCGGGCTGAAACACAGGCTTCGGTCCTCAGTCCTGTCCCCTCCCCACCTCTGTCCAGAACTCACCCACCAACCTCAACCCCAAGGACCACCAGAATCTTAAAGGAAAAACTTTCAGTCCTGGATTCCAGTCCTAACCCACATGACCTTGGAGCCTTTACCCCATCTGTAAAACAAAAGACTGCAATGAAAAAACTGGTCCCTTGAAGATACTCGTGTGTGTGTGTGTGTGTGTGTGTGTGTGTGTGTGTGTGTGTGTATCTACATTTTTTACTCAAATTTGGAGGCAAACATGAAAGGGGCCATCTGCAGAGTCATTTGCAGTGACCCTAATAATGCAGGGTCCAGCCCCAGCAGGCACCCAGACCTAGGACTGGACAGCAAAACCCGGAAAAGCTCCCCAACCTTCTAGATTAGTTCCCAAACGTTCCAGAAACGGTTGAAAACACAGGCGTAATAGAGATTCCAGAGCTCCACCGTCAAAGGATCTGCTTCAGGGGGTCTCCAGGAAGACCCAGAACTCTACATTTATAGGGGACATTCCCAGGTAATTCTAGAGAGCCTGGGACCTACAAGGTCTCTCCCCTCATCTCCCACCTGCTTCCCTGCGAAAGCTTGTCAATGAGACAGGAGAAGCACCAGCAGCCCCCAGGAAGCCCGACACTGGAATACCTGGCTCCTCACGTTCCGCTGGGCCTCCCACCACCACCTCAAGCCAGCATCCAGTGGTTCAAGTGATTGCTCAGCCTTTTTTTCTTCCCAGCAGAGAACAGCAGACAAGGGAGACAGAAGTGGAAGAGCAGCTAGATGCCAGCACCACTGCCTGGTCTCTACCCCTTCTCTCCTCCCCTTTCCCAGCAACACCCCTGTGTCCCCAAGGTCACCAGAATCAGAGGGAAACTGGGTTACATCACGGGACTGGAGAGGCAGCCTTTACTGGTCCTGCTGATAACATTAAGGTGCTGGCCTTGGCCAGTGTGGGGGAGGGGCAGAAACAGAGGGACTGGACTGACCGTTCACACCTCACAACCTGACACTAGCAGACAGGTGCTGGGAAACAGTTCTTTCTGAATCTCAAACTCTTGCTCTTACTCTTCTTTTTTGAGGGGGAGGGCGGGGGGGTGCAGGACCCCGGGGAAAACAGCGTCTTGCTCTTTTGTCCAAGCTGGAGTGCAGTGGGGTGATCACAGCTCACTGCTGCATCTGACTTCCAGGCTCAAAACATCGCCCCACCTCAGCTGCCTGAGTAGCTGGGACTACAGGTACATGCCGCCATGCCAAGCTAATTTTAAAAAAATTTTTCGTAGATACTGGGTCTCGCTTTGTTGCCCAAGCTGGTCTCCAACTTCAGGGCTCAAGCAATCCTCCTACCTTGGCCTCCCAAAGTGCTGGGATTACAGGCATGAGCCTTACTGCTCCAGCCTTCCCCCCTCTCTTTTTTTTAATACAAACTGGCAGATGATGGTTCCATCTCTATATTTAAATTTTTCTATTTTATTATTTATTTTAGTAGAGACAGGCGTCTGTCTTGCTTTGTTGTCTGGGCTGGTTTTGAATTCCTGGCCTCAAGCAATCCTCCCGCCTCAGCCTCCCAAAGTGTTGGGATTACAGGTGTGAGCCACCGAGCCTGGCCTCTTTTTTTTTTCTTTTTAAGAGGCTTGAAAGTATATTTCGATTTTTTTAAATCAAGGTATAACATGTACAAGTGTGCAAATCTTAACCACACAGCTTGATAAATACTTGATGTTTGTACATGCACTCTCAAGAGCAAGCTGTAGAGTGTTTCCAGAAAGCTCCCTCCAGCCTCCTCCCAGTCATAACTCCTAACAAGGACAGCAACTGTCCTTATTACCATGTTGTCATGTGGCCTGTTTTTGAATTTCACATAAACAGCATCACATAAAATGTACTCTTTTGTGTCTGGTTTCTTTCACTTAATAATAGTGAGCTTTTTTAAAAAAAGTGAAGTCTTTCAATGTTTAGAAATTCAACGACACTCTGTTATACAGGTTTTCTTTGTTTTTTGAGATAGTTTCACTCTTGTTGTCCCGGCTGGAGTGCAGTGGCGCAATCTTGGCTCACTGCAACCTCTGCCTCCTGGGTTGAAGTGATTCTCCTGCCTCAGCCTTCCAAGCAGCTGGGATTACAGGCGCCTGCCACACGCCCAGCTAATTTTTTGTATTTTCAGTAGTGATGGGTTTCATCATGTTGGCCAGTACGGTCTCAAACTCCTGATCTCAAGTGATCCACCCGCCTCGGACTCCCAAAGGGCTGGGATTACAGGCGTGAGCCACTGTGCCTGACTGCGCCCAGCCTATTAAACGGTTAATGAATATTATGGTCATAATATACTGCTATGGTTTGAATGTATCCTCCTCATTTCATGTGTTGGAAATTTAACCCCCAATGGGGCAGTACTGAAAGCTGGCTGTAGCCTGCAGCTATAATCCCAGCACTTTGGGAGTCCAAGACCAGAGGATCACTTGAAGCCAGGAGTTCAAGACCAGCCTAGGCAACAAAGCCACAAACCATCTTTCGAGAAAATTAAAAACTAAAACATAAATTAGCTGGGCCTGGTGGTGCACTCCTGTATCCCAGCTACTCGGGAGGCTGAGGCAGGAGGATCTCTTGAACCCAGAAGGTGGACGCTGCAGTGAGCTGAGATCCCTCACTGCACTCCAGCCTGGCCGCAGAGCAAGCCTCTGTCAATCAATCAATCAATCAATCAATGTCTTGTCTGGGCCTAAATTTCCATTCTCTTAATGGAACAGAGAAAGTGGAAAAAGGTGAATGTAACTCACCGCTGGGAGGCCGGAACCCTGCCGGTGGCAGATGCCTCTTGTGTCCTCACCAGGTTGCCCTGCAATCACATGCTGCATCCTTCTTCCTGAAGCTGCCCCACGTGCCCCACCACGCAGCCACTCCGCGGGCTCCTTCAAGGGCGGCAGTACTGTCACATGTTCCAAAAGTGCCTCTCTCTGCCCTGCCCGCCTCGCCATGTGCCCACCATGCTCCACGCGCTCCCACTGTGTGCTCCACCTCGCACCCGTGCCCCATCATGCTCTGCGTGCTCGTTAGGTGCCCCATCATGCACCGGGCCCCAACTACGTGCCCCTCCAATTACGTGCCCCACGGACGTGCCCAATCATGCTTCGCAGGCTCCAGTTAGATGCCCCATCATGCCCCGCGCGCCAATTACGTACCCCGCCTAACGCCCCACGCACTTGCCCCATCATGCCCTGCGCGCTCCCGTTACGTGCCCCACCTCACTCCCCTGCACGTGCCCAACGTGCCCTGCGTGGTCCCGTTACGTGCCCCGCCTCGCGCCCCTGCACGTGCTCCGTTATGTCCCATAGGCTCCCATTACAGTCCCGACCTCCCGCCCTACCGCGTGGCCTCAAAACTCGCAAGGGCCAGGGCTGTTGGTGGCGGTTGGAACGGAGTGATGAGTGCGTTCTCGTGGACCCGGAATGGAATGCCACCGTCAGGAGGGGTCGGCAGGGTATAAAAGGGCCTTCGTGACCGTCCCCCCACCCCAACAGAGTCACAGCCAGGGAGGGCAGCAGGGCACACCAGGCTGAAGGCTTACGCCACAGGGAGGGCAGCAAGGACATGGGGGGAAGCGCCTTAAACCAGGGAGTCCTGGAAGGGGACGACGCCCCCGGCCAGGTGAGGGCCCGGGCGCTTTGGGGCGTCGACGCCTAGGAGTGGCCGGGTGGGTCCGCGGCTCTGAGGCCTGGCTTTCATTCTCCACTAGTCCCCCTACGAACGGTTGAGTCAGAGGATGCTGGACATTTCCGGGGACCGGGGCGTGCTGAAGGATGTCATCCGTGAGGGAGCTGGTGACCTGGTGGCGCCAGACGCTACGGTGCTAGGTATGCCCTGGGGTGATTTGTCGGCAGGATCCATGTCATCACACTCTGTTGGGGCCAGAGAGATCACGTTTTCGAAATGCATTAATGGGATTGAAAATGCTTTGTTTGAAGTGGATTTTTGTATTTTGAGACGGGGTCTTGCTCAGTTGTCCAGGCTGGAGTGCAGTGGTGTGATCATAGCTCACTGCAGCCTCCACCTCCTGGGCTCAAGCGATCCTCCAACCTCAGCCTCGCAAGTAAGGGATTTACAGGCGCAATCCACTATGGCCAGCTAATTTTTAATATTTTTATAGAGATGGGGGACTCTATGTTGCCCAGGCTAGTCTCAAACTCCTGGACCCAAGCGATCCTCCCACCTCAGCCTCCCCAGCAGCTGGGATTACTAGGCTGAGCCGCTACTTCCGGCCTGATTTTTTTTATTTTTATTTTTATTTTTTTTTTTAGGAAAGCCAGGGACCTCTATGTCCCTCAGCATGATGCCTCCCTGAAGCTCTGGAACCTCTGAGCCAAAGGGCAGACACCCAAAATGCAGAAAGATTTATTCCTGTACCTCGGGGTGTCAAGCAGCTTAAGCTTACCTGATCGCATTGTTTCTGTGATGATAAGAGAAGACATTATGGAGGCGTGGGTGTTTGGGGTCCATTTTGCTTACATTCTTTTTTTCTATTCTAGTAAAATACTCTGGATACCTGGAACACATGGACAGACCCTTTGATTCTAATTGCCATAGGAGAACTCCTAAGCTAATGAAACTTGGAGAGGGTAAATTCAGCGTGGGGCCTGGAAAAGATGGGATTGCTTAGGGGCGAGATGAGGCACGATGCTTCAGGCTGGGAAGACTGGTCAGAGCATAGGTTGAGTTGGCTTTGCTGAGGCTGGGTTTTGGTAAAACCGCTATGTTCTCTCCCCTTGAGACCTGGGTATTTGAGAGATGGCTTCACTAGGAAGGTATCTTTGCACTCTGACTTTAACCATTGGGAATGTTTCGTCATTCATTTATTAAGTAAAAATCGACCGAATGCTTACTTCCCACAATACATGGTGAAAAGAGGATGTACTCGGGAGATTAGAACATCTCTACTCTTAAGGACTTCACGGTGTAGTGGAGGAGACCGGCCTATACTCGGTTCACTTAGTAGAACTGGATAGTGCCTGGGAGGTGATAGCAGTGTTGTGAGTATGCTTAATGAAGGCATGATCAATTCCAGCTGGGAGGTTCAGGGAAGCTTCCTGGAAGAGGGGCATTTGAGCTGAGCCCTGAAGTCCAAATAAAATTTCTATGAGTAGGAGCTGAGCACAGGCTAAGGAGGAAGACATTGCAGGAAGATACACATGTCTTGTGTGAGAGACATGGAGGCCAGAGTACTGCTGACTTACAAGGGGAAGAAGTGATAGCATTGAGCAGGATACTGAGCAAACTTCAGCTACTGTCTTTGTCCCTTCTTACAGATATTACTCTGTGGGGCATGGAGCTGGGCCTTCTGAGCATGCGGAGAGGAGAGCTGGCCAGGTTTCTCTTCAAACCAACCTATGCCTATGGAACACTGGGCTGCCCTCCCCTGATCCCCCCAGACACCACCGTCCTGTTCGAGATTGAGCTGATTGACTTCCTAGACTCTGCTGAGTCGGACAAGTTTTGTGCTCTCTCAGCTGTAAGTTCCAGAGCACAGATGTCAGCACTTTAGAGAGAGGCAAATGGGTTGGTGTTCTTGGTAATTCTTCTAGATAGCCTGCCCCTGCTGTTGATGGTCTGCCCCAGGGTCCCCCGCAGCTCCTGCACGGTGGTGGCAATGGAGTTCCTCTGCTTCCTAGTCTGTGTTTGTCTCAGTAATGGTTCTCATGTAGATGAATGTGCTGGGGCAAGGTAAGGCTGTGAGTTTAAGGATTCGTGTTGTGAACTGATTCTCCCTGTGAGCCAATGAACACTTGCTTTTCATCATTGTTTGGTTTCCAGTAAGGCAGGCATTGGTAGCTCATGACTAGGGTGACTGGATAATTGATTGTCCAACCCAGCACAGGTGGGAATAAAGGGGGCTGTTAACTGGAGGGCTTACCCAGGACATCGGGTGTAAACTGGGACAGTCCCAGGCAAACTGGGATGTGTGGCCACTGTCCTCACCACGGAAGTCTTGCCTCCTCTTCATTTAACCCTGTCCTGTAGATGCAGGCTTCTGACCCCGTCAGCAGTCACATGCACTGTCTTTATCATGCTTCTCACGCTGACTCTCTATGTGGCCTTAGATGTTCATCCCAGGTTTTGTATCTTCACGTGGTGTCTCCCCAGATAAACTATCAGCACTCCAAGTGAGGGAGCTCACCCTTTTCCATCCTTCCAAAGATTAGAGTTTCTTGCAGATGCCTGGTCCCACGTGTGGTGCACTGATTTAGGATCTGTGGGGGTGGGGCCGGGACCAAAGCGGCTCTGTAGGTGACTCTGAAATGGCCAGGGTAGAGCATCATGACCATAAAGACCACCAGGGCCCTGAGCAAACCAAGACCTGTTCAGTGCTTGGTGGCCAAATGGTGGTTTCAAGCACTGACTTCTCTGCTTGCACATTCCATCATTTTTAGTTCCGTGGGATTCTGCTTCCTCAGAGACTTTTGGGGAAAGACTAAAGAAGTAGACTTTCCAACATGGTGAAACCCCGTCTCTACTAAGAATACAAAAAAAAAAAA